CTCTCTCTCTCTCTCTCTCTCTCTCTCTCTCTCTCTCTCTCTCATATCCGTGTGTCTCTCTCAGTTAAACCTCCCTTCTTTTTTATCTGTCGCCTTCCCCCATTTTCTTTGTGGGGATGAACTCCAAACTTGCGCTTCACCAAAGGCTGGCTTGGAGCCCAAGGAGCTTTCCAAGGTGCTGAAAACATTTCTTCTACAGAGCCAGGAACCAATTCAGCAAACAACAGCTGTTTAACTCCAGCTCTGTTTTCTTTGAGGTAATCAGCCTTGGTCTTACCTCCACCCAACGCCCCTTTCTAAGCACAGAAGCAGTCGTCCTGAGATAATATCAAAACACTCAAATATTTTTAGACCTGGCAAAGGAATGGGGAAGGCACATGGGGGTTAAATTCAGCCTAGAAAACAAATCAAACCAGCTTTGCCAACACCAAATACATGTATTTCACTCTTACCTAATATACAACTTTTCTTGTCTCACAGGAAATAAACTCTTACGATGTCCCTGTTATACCTCCCAAATTTTTACGTAACACAAACCACAAACCGCCCAAGGATGGTGTTGGCTACCCCTAATTTGTATAAGTGTCCATGGATTTTAATACCATGTTTTTTGCAGAGGTAATAAACATGAGTAATACCTGTGTGTGTGTGTGTGTGTGTGTGTGTGAGAGAGAGAGAGAGAGAGAGAGAGAGAGAGAGAGAGAGAGAGAGAGAGAATGAATATTTGTGCGTGAGGAAAGAGGAAAGAAAAAGGGAGGAGAAGGAGAACTGGAGAGACAAACCTAGTATAGAATACCGCACCCTTGGGCTCGGCATGTCTTTACCTGCCCCCTCCGATCCTCTGACCCGTGGAGCAAGTGCAGCCAGCTAGCCGCAGATCTCTCGCTGGGGTCCCATCGCCGCCGCCGCCACCGCCGCCGCCACCGCCGCCGCCGCTCCTGCAGCACAGAGCTCAGCCAGCGTGTGATTGACAGCTGGGAGCCCCGCGTGCCCGCGCATCTGAGGCCCGCGCAGTCGCCGCCGCTGCCTCCGAAGGGGCGGGATCGGCGCTAGGCGGGCGGGCAGCGAGTGGGCGGGGCCCGAGTGGCAAGTGGGCGGGGCCCCGAGCGACTGGGCGCGCGACCCTCCTTCCCTCTTGCAACCCAGGCCTGTACTTGGACAGCGACTGCCATGTGGAAGGCTGGGTACTGTGCCCTGAGGAAGCCTCATGTGCCCGGGAACCTTGTCTGCCTTTCTGCCTTGTTCAATGTTTGCTTCTCCTGCCTAGCAGAATGTCTGGCCATAACAGGCTCAATACACATTTTTTTTTTAATGAATACAGAAGGCAGACAGACCTGAAGCCTGCTTCTTCCACCACCACTCCTTTTTCGATGTGTAGAGGCTTCTATGCATCCTGTTTTTTGTCCTTGAGGAGACACGGGGTGAGGACCTTTTCTAACTGGCAAAGCACAGCCCAAATGAAAAGAACCTTACTTCCGTCAGCATTGGGTGCTTTCAGTTCCTCACCTCGCCCCTGACCTCAAAGTCAGGAAGTCTCAGTGGGTGAGATGGAAGAACGATGAAGAAAATGGATTAAATGATGATATTCAAGAAAAAATCTCACAAATGCATGAAGATAAAAACACACCAGAAAAGTACCTGTGAATACCTCAGAAAATTTGTGTAGGTGTGGGCAAGAGAGTGTATAAACACAGTGACCCCTTGCTGCATGAGACTCTGCAGACCATTGGTAAGTGGCATTTAATGAAAATGATTCCTAAGGTAGTTAATATTTGCACAGCCATTCTACACATAGAATAATAATAACACCTAACATTTACAAAATACTTCCTGTGTGCCAGGTATTGTTTTAGGTACATCACATATACATTCATTATATGCATAGCCCTTTGTGTTAAGTATTCTTTATTATCCCAATTTTGTAGATGAGGAGGCTGAGGTATAGAGGAAGTGACTCACACCCATGATGATACAGGCTCACAGTTACTTGTCACAGGCCACACTACTAAATGGGAAAGGTGGACTGAAATCTACAGGGTTGTCTCCTAGAGAAGATTTCAGGTATAAGTGATATTTTTGCCTAAAAACACTAAGAAACAACTATTTTTATTAAACAGTGGATTGACCAAAGTAAATGTTGAGCAAATGTTTTGAGGGGAACCAAGGACAGGGATCTTTGTTCCCCAAGTTTCAACACTACAGTAATCCCCTCTTATCTATGTGGGATGCATTCCAAGACCCCAAATGGATGCCTAATACAGTGGATGATATCAAACCCTACATATACTGTTTTTTTTCCTATACTTACATACATACCTATGATACAGTTTATAACAGGATTCTTTTTCTTTCTTTATTAAGAACATTTACCTTTTCACTTAAAGGAAGCACTTCATGGCTTTTCTTTGGCATATCCAAATTGCCAGCATCACTATTCTTGAACTTTGAGGCCATTACTAAATAAAATAAGGATTACCTGAGCACAAGCATTGAGATACTGATCTGATAACCAAGATGGCTACTAAGTTGGGGCATCTACAGCATGGAGATGCTGGACAAAGGGATGATTCCTGTCCTGGTCAAGAAGGAATGGGGTGATGGGAGATTTCATCACGCTACTCAGAACAGCGCACAATTTAAAACTTAGGAATTGTTTATTTCTGGAAATTTCCACTTAATATTTTCACACAGTGGTTGACCGTAGGTAACTGAAACCTCAGAATGGATGGAGAGGTGGAGGTACTACTGTATTTTTCAACATTACTTAAGCCTGTAGGTGTCACTTATTTCTTTCTCCCTTCTAAGTACTCATGAAAGTGCATCTTTTTGGAGTTTTGACATGTTGCTTGTTAGTTTGCTTTTCTCAGATTCAGTGTATGGATCTGGTGACCATTTATTTATTCTTAGATTGTGACAAGATTGGTGTGTTTTCCCAGCCCAGAAAGTCCATAAGAATCAGCACACATGAAAAAATTCAGGGGCTCTGAGTTATAATTGAATCAGAGATTAGGCTTCGGGAAGGGCTGACTTCCTGATGACTACCTTATTGGTTTCTGTGAAGTGTCCTAGTCTCTTTTTACCATGCATGAAGAATCCATCATCCAATAATTCAGAGAGCTAGTCTGAGTGGGGCTTGGATTGGACACACCTGGGTTTTAATCCTGGCTCTGCCAACTCCTATTATTTAACCTGATCAAGTTTCTTCACCACTCCATTCCCCATTTTCTTCATCTATAAAATGGTTCTAATAATATCTACTTCTTATAGTAGTTATGAGAATTAAATGAAGTTATGCTTATTAAGTATTTACCATAATGCCTGGTACATAGTAAGTATTCAATACATTATAGCTATTATTATTATTGTTGTTGTTAATTATTTAGCTAAAGGTTTTTGAAGCCTATGAAAATTTTCAGCTTGGAGTCTCAAGTCTTCTAAGTTTTCTAGGCACTCTCCATTTGCCTCATCTCCTCTTTTACCAGATCTACTTCCAACCTGTGCCATCACTGGCCTCTCGGTGCAAGTTCCTGCTGAGGTGGCACTGGAGTGGACATGCCTATCCAGGAGCCTGAGGGCAACACAGGTCTTCCAGATTCCACTAGTACATTGGCCTTTGCTTCTCTCTCAATCAGAAGTAACTTGAATTAGTGAGATAAAGATATGATTTATTCATCCCAAGATACCCTTAAAATGTGAATTAACGCCATTGTCTTGTCTTTCACAAGCCATAGTTTTTA